GAGCCGTGGCGAGGTCTGTGCATTAAGGCTCGGTCTGATATTTCTCTGCACAGACCGAGCAAGCGAGGTTAATAAATGTTTTATTATATGACTCTCGTCTGTGTCTTTACCAATGCTTTTGAGATATTTGTGAAGTATGTTCATGTCCGACTTGGTTTTGTGTGATACAGGCTGCGGACCAATTGTCATGGTAACGGTCCGAGATGGGAAAATAACAGACCGGTAATCAGCCAATCAGAGCGCGCGTACGGTCCAAGTCATATAATAAAATATATTATTTATTGACTCTAAAGGTCCGTCCGTCCGTTTTCTTCCGCTTTATCCGTTGCCGGGTCGCGGGGGCAGCAGTCTAAGCAGAGACACCCAGACTTCCCTATCCACACACACTTCCTCCAGCTCGTCCGGGGGGACCCCAAGGCGTTCCCAGGCCAGCTGAGAGACATAGTCCCTCCAGCGTGTCCTGGGTCTTCCCCGGGGCCTCCTCCCGGTGGGACGTGCCCGAAACACCTCCCCAGGGAGGCGTCCAGGAGGCATCCGGAACAGATGCCCGAGCCACCTCAACTGGTTCCTCTCGACGTGGAGAAGCAGCGGTTCTACTCCGAGCTCCTCCCGTGTGACTGAGCTCCTCACCCTCTCTCTAAGGGAGCAGCCACTCTGCGGAGGAAGCTCATTTCGACCGCTTGTATCCGCGATCTCGTTCTTTCGGTCATTACCCAAAGCTCATGACCATAGGTGAGGGAGGGAACTAAGATTGACCAGTAAATTGAGAGCTTTGCCTTTCGGCTCAGCTCCCTCTTCACCACAATGGTCCGATACAGCTCTGACTGCAGACGCTGCTCCCTCTTTACCACAACGGTCCGATACAGCGACCGCATCACTGCGCACGCTGCACCGATCCTGTCAATCTCACGCTCCATTCTTCCCTCACTCGTGAACAAGACCCCGAGATACTTGAACTCCTCCACTTGAGGAAGGACCTCTCCACACACCTGTAGAGGGCAAGGCACCTTTTTCCGGTCGAGCACCATGGCCTCGGATTTGGAGGTGCTGATTCTCATCCCAGCCGCTTCACACTCGGCTGCAAACCGTCCCAGTGCATGCTGCAGGTCCTGGTTCGTTGGAGCCAACAGGACAACATCGTCCGCAAACAGCAGAGATGAAATCCTGTGGTCCCCGAACCGGACCCCCTCCGGCCCCTGGCTGCGCCTAGAAATTCTGTCCATGAATACAGTGAACAGAACCGGTGACAAAGGGCAGCCCTGTCGGAGGCCAACATTCACCGGGAACAGGTCTGACTTACTGCCGGCAATGCGAACACAGCTCTGACTCCGGTCATACAGGGACCGGACGGCCCTCAGCAGAGGACCCCGGACCCCGTACTCCCGGAGAACCCCCCAAAGAACACCCGGGGAACACAGTCGAACGCCTTCTCCAAATCCACAAAGCACATGTGGACAGGTTGGGCGAACTCCCATGAACCCTCGAGTATCCGATGGAGAGTATAGAGCTGGTCCAGTGTTCCGCGACCGGGACGAAAACCACAGTGCTCCTCCTGGATCCGAGATTCGACCATCGGCCGTAGCCTCCTCTCCAGTACCTTGGAGTAAACCTTACCAGGGAGGCTGAGGAGTGTGATCCCACGATAATTGGAACACACCCTCCGGTCCCCCTTCTTGTAGAGAGGGACCACCACCCCGGTCTGCCACTCCATTGGCACCGCCCCCGATCGCCACGCGATGTTGCAGAGACGTGTCAGCCAAGACAGTCCTACAACATCCAGAGACTTTAGATAGTCAGGACGGATCTCATCCACTCCCGGCGCCTTGCCACCATGGAGGCTGCCAACCACCTTGGTGACCTCGGCCAGGGAGATGGAAGTATCCGCCCCAACATCCTCAGCCTCTGCCTCCTGAACGGAGGACGTGACGGGGGGTTGAGGAGAACCTCGAAGTATTCCTTCCACCGCCCGACAATATCCTCAGTCGAGGTCAGCAGCCCTCCACCCGCACCATACACGGTGTTGGCAAAGAACTACTTCCCCCTCCTGAGGCGCCGGACGGTTTGCCAGAACCTCTTCGAGGCCGACCGATAGTCATGCTCCATGGACTCTCCGAACTCCTCCCATTCCCGGGTTTTTGCCTCTGCAACAGCCCGGGCCGCGGCACGTTTGGCCTGCCGGTACTGGACAGCTGCCTCAGGAGTCCCACGAACCATCATTGCTCAATAGGACTCCTTCTTCAGCCTGACGGCATCCCTTACTGCCGGTGTCCACCACCGGGTTCGGGGATTGCCGCTGGGACCAGCACCAGAGACCTTGCGACCACAGCTACGAGCCGCCGCATTGGCGATAGAGGAAGAGAACATGGTCCACTCGGACTCGATGTCCCCCTCCTCCGCCGGGACCTGGGAGAAGCTCTCCCGGAGGTGTGAGTTGAAAGTCCGTCTGACAGGGGGCTCAGCGAGACGTTCCCAGCAGACCCTCACTACACGCTTGGGTCTGCCAGGTCTGACCGGCTTCTTCCCCTGCCAGCGGATCCAACTCACGACCAGGTGATGATCGGTTGACAGCTCCGCCCCTCTCTTTACCCGAGTGTCCGAGACACGCGGTCGAAGGTCAGATGATACGACAACAAAGTCGATCATCGACCTCCGGCCTAGGGTGTCCTGGTGCCACGTGCACTGGTGGACACCCTTGTGCTCGAACATGGTGTTCGTGATGGACAGGCCGTGACTGGCACAGAAGTCCAACAACTGAACACCGCTCGGATTCAGATCAGGGGGGCCGCTCTTCCCGATCACCCCTCTCCAAGTGTCACTGGCATTTCCCACATGGGCGTTGAAGTCCCCCAGGAGAATAACGGAGTCCCCGGGCGGTGCACTGTCCAGTACCCCTCCCAAGGACTCCAAGAAGGCCGGGTACTCTGCACTACCGTTAGGCCCGTAGGCCGTCACAACAGTGAGAGACTTGTCCCCCACCCGGAGGCGGAGGGACGCGACCCTCTCATTCACCGGGGAGAACTCCAACACGTGGCGGCTGAGATGGGGGGCAATGAGTATGGCCACCCCAGCTCGCCGCCTCTCCCCGCGGGAAACACCAGAAAAGTGGAGCGTCCAACCCCTCTCAAGGAGTTGGGTTCCAGAGCCCAAGCTGTGTGTGGAGGTGAGGCCGACTATCTCTAGTCGGTATCGCTCAACCTCCCCCACAAGCTCGGGCTCCTTCTCCCCCAGTGAGGTGACGTTCCACGTCCCAAGAGCCAGATGTTGGGTGCGTGGACTGGGTCGTCGAGGTCTCCGCCTTCGACCGCTGCCCAGTCCTCGCTGCACCACGCCACCACGGACCCCTCTGCAGGTGGTGGGCCCACAGGAGGGACTGCCCACGTCATCCCTTCGGGCTGAGCCCGGCCGGGCCCCGTGGGCTAAGGCCCGGCCACCAGGCGCTCGCTTGCGAGCCCCGACCCCAGGCCTGGCTCCAGGGTGGGGCCCCGGCTGCGCCATGCCGGGCGACGTCACGGTTTTTGTTGTCGTGCTGTCCATGGTTGGCTTCGGACTGCGCTTCGTCTGACTCGTCACTTGAGACCTGTCTGCCATGGGAGACCCTACCAGGGGCATGAAGCCCCAGACAGCATAGCTCCCAGGATCCTCCGAGTGCTCAAACTCCCCCACCACGTTAAGGTGGCAGTCCAAGGGGGAGATATCAGAGTAATATCAGAGTAATATCAGAGTAAGACGTCAGAAGAGAGGGGCGTTTGGGCAATAGCTGCCGCTTAATCTGGGACTCAGAGGCGCCATAGACTCTTCTGTTTGTTTCATCCTATAAATGTGAGAGAGAGTGAGCACTAAGAGCAGATCTACCCGGGACCTGCCACGCGGTTACACGGTTGTATTTCCTGTATATGTCACATTTACTAAGATAATAAACCACACTTTGATTTGAACTACAGCTCTTGTTGTTTATTTTATATTTAATATTGTGCATTTCACTCCTTAGAAATTCCACAACACACTGTTAACTCTGTCTCCTTCATCTTAGTTTGAAACCAAACATAAACACTAACTAGGAACGCATTCTGGAAATGTCAGAGCAGGAATCCTGCATAACAGAAGTCAGATGTAAATATTGGTAACTACTGTTGAAGATGGGAATTCTTTAAATGTAAGGTCGGACAGATGTCGAGGCAAAGAAGTAAAACTTTAAAGGCACACCGCGGACTTTGTGACCTAAAGAGTTGACACATATGAGTTATTTTATATGAATACTTGGGCCAATATACAGCGCTTGACACTTGCAATGCTCCGAGCGGGGCTGCCCTCTTGAAATACCGCCCATGTAAGTTTCGAGCAGACGGACCGTCTGCCACCAGGTCACGTGACTTGGAAGAAAGACTTGCTTTACGGCTACAGGCGCTGATATACTCATGGAGCTAAGGCTTTTGCTACTCATTTTTCACCTGCTCGACTCCTGGTCATGGCTGAGGCAAGGAAAAATTTTAAACCTTTGGAGGAGGCTAAAAAGAGGAAACGCGAAAGGGATCGTGCTGTAAGCTGCATGTCTGTATGAGCGCTGCTCTTCACCTGGTTCCTGGATGTCATCGACTGCAAAGATGTCATTCCACGCAGCACGAGCTAGACGCAGAACTCCCTCATCCAGGATATAGAAGTCCATGTGTGGTAGATTACTAATGCAGCGGTCTGGAGGCTGACCACAGCAGAGTCTCTCAATATCTGTAGGCATGTCTCTACAGTTTGAACACACACACCAGTGCATGCTGTCTGAATACACACTCAAAAGACACCGGCTGACTGTTTGTTGACTTTTGCGACAGTGCTGAGTTGCTTGTGGCCACTAGGGGCGCTAAACGTGAAAGTTGCAGGTCTAGCGCCCCTAGTGGCCAAGAGTTACACGGTGTGCCTTTAAGGGAACAGGAGCTGGACTGTTGGAATCAGACAGAGCTGCTTTTATCGATCTCAAATCCAAATGAGACGAGCTCTGGGAAAGTCAGGGAACCAGAACAGCACAGCTCAGAACAGCACAGCTCAGAACAGGACAGCTCAGAACAGAACAGCTCAGAACAGCACAGCTCAGAACAGCACAGCTCAGAACAGCACAGCTCAGAACAGCACAGCTCAGAACAGCACAGCTCAGAACAGAACAGCTCAGAACAGGACAGCTCAGAACAGCACAGCTCAGAACAGCACAGCTCAGAACAGCACAGCTCAGAACAGCACAGCTCAGAACAGCACAGCTCAGAACAGGACAGCTCAGAACAGCACAGCTCAGAACAGCACAGCTCAGAACAGCACAGCTCAGAACAGCACAGCACAGCTCAGAACAGCACAGCTCAGAACAGCACAGCTCAGAACAGCACAGCTCAGAACAGAACAGCTCAGAACAGGACAGCTCAGAACAGCACAGCTCAGAACCGCACAGCTCAGAACAGCACAGCTCAGAACAGCACAGCTCAGAACAGCACAGCTCAGAACAGGACAGCTCAGAACAGCACAGCTCAGAACAGCACAGCTCAGAACAGCACAGCTCAGAACAGCACAGCTCAGAACAGCACAGCTCAGAACCGCACAGCTCAGAACAGAACAGCTCAGAACAGCACAGCTCAGAACAGCACAGCTCAGAATGGGACATAGATGTTGGAGTCGGATGCTGCAGTTAAACAACTCTCTCTGAGCAGAACGGCCTCGCATCAGATTTTTACAAACACTTTTGGGAAGATATAAAAGACCTTATTTTCTTTGTCCTACAGGAAAGTATTAGATCTAAGTCTGTGACGACTGAGACACGGCGTGATGGCTCTGATCCCCAAAAGTGGTAAAGACAAAAGGGAAACAATCTAAGGCCAAGAACTTTAATGTGGATTATAAATTTGTTGCTCAGGCTACTGCTAACAGACTTAAAGAAGACATGTCACAAATGATTAGTGATTCACAGTCTGCCTTTCTCAGAGGTCGTTCTGTCCATAATAACTTTAGACTGGGTCTGGTTTATTAGATTATGGGGATAAAACTGAGGATGATGGATTTGTTCTTTTCCTTGGCTTCTTTAAGGACCGAACATTCCTTCACGACACTTTGGTTTTGGAAACACGTTTTATGAAATGACTCAAGTATTAGACAGGGATATCAACAGCTCGTTTGGCTCTTGTCAGAGATTTGACATTAAGAGAGGTATTCGGCGGATCCCCTCTGCTGTTTATAATGGTTGTTGACATTCTGAGCATTATGATAAAAAAATGTGAAGAGTTAAAAAAAAGAATGTTTAGGCTCTAGTCCAACTTGCAGATGATACCACTCTATTCCTTAAAGATAAAACACAAATCCCTACAGCTCTACAAGTGGCTTTTCTAAAACCTCTGACCCACGTCTAAATGATGATAAGTGTGAGTTAATGGTTATTCATGTCCACTCTGAGATATCCTTAAAAAATAAACCAGTTAAAGAAGTTAAATACTCGGGAATCGTCGTTTCAAAGAACATAGACGCACGAATGAAAAACATCTGTGATAATGACATTAAAAGAGTAAGAGATGGTTGCTCTCTAAAATGAAAGGTCTCTCCAGAGTTATTTATCCTGATTATTCTATGAAAATATCTCATACATTTATAAAACAAATCAACCAGAACAATTTTCATTTGACCGGGATCATTATATACAGAATGATGTCGTCAGGTCCTCAGAGGGAGGCGGCTTCAGACAGTATTTATAACTCACATGAACACTGTGTTCAACTACAAAACTGGAAATGAGTATTTAAACATCATTTACTCCTCATAATACACCAATATGGAACAATCGATACATCCTGCTCAAAAAGAAGTGTCTTTACGGTAAAGACTGGAATGACAAAGGAACATGTCTATAATGCCTTTGAAGAGTTCAATAATAAATACAATATGACTTGTTCCAACAGTTTTCACTGTTATGTGTATTTTAAAAGGTTCTTTACTAAACCAACACCGTGGCCCTCAAAGGCCCAGTCCCCTGATCCAGGAGCTCCCCCTTGAGGACAAGAGCTGTAACTGCAAATTCTTTAGAACTGTTCTGATCCACATGTTCTTTTGTCTCTTACACAAGAATTGGTACAATTTAGAAGTGAAGATATTAAATCCATTAGATGTGATGATATTAAACTTCCAGTTCCAGAGAAAGCTAAAGAAGTACATTTTAAACTTATAAACAATGTTTACCCCAGATTCTTTTAATTCCAAATGTAATATTGTGTCTTTTGTAGTAACAATACTGAAACCCAGTTTAACATTTTTTGGGATAGCTTCTGTTCATGGACCTCACGCAACAAATTGGGAATATTGTCTTTAACTTACACTGATATAAAACACAGAGCTATATTGGAACACAAGAACAATCCATTCACAATCAATAATTTTATTATATATGCAACATTTTTCATACACAAATGTACATTTGGCAGTACTAAACCTTTAAAGTACTAAACCTTTATATTTGAAGGATTCCTTAAAACTTTGCAAGTCTAAAAAAGTCTTGATGACAATATGATGAAATGTCTTTGAACCCACTGCATACTTACCACCTGTGTGCTCTGACTGTCAAATGTTCTGGATATGTGTGAGCCTGTAAGCAACAAAGGATGAGAGTGGACCGCCCTATTTCAGCCAATCAGCTCTCAGCCCAAAGAGATCACGTGACGTGGTCTTAGGTACAGCAGCTTTAATGAAAGACAGTTTTATTATTATAATTTGATCTTGTTTGCACCGAGAGCCAAAGACATTTCCTAGTTTGTGACTTCCTGTTACTCACTCGGCAGATTCTGATTCTGTATTTACCGATGACGTCATGTCTGGGGCGACCTGCTGCTACGTCACTCCTGAGCGCCCGCGTCTGCTCCGTGTCACTTCGCAGAGTTTTATGTTCAAATCCTCGGTATTTTTGTGGCAGAAGTCAGAGAAGAACGTGAGGACAGACGTGAGGACAGACGTGAGGACAGACGTGTGGACAGACGTGAGGACAGACGTGAGGACAGACGTGAGGACAGACGTGAGGACAGACGTGTGGACAGACGTGAGGACAGACGTGAGGACAGACGTGAGGACAGACGTGAGGACAGACGTGTGGACAGACGTGAGGACAGACGTGAGGACAGACGTGAGGACAGACGTGAGGACAGACGTGAGGACAGACGTGAGGACAGACGTGAGGACAGACGTGAGGACAGACGTGTGGACAGACGTGAGGACAGACGTGAGGACAGACGTGAGGACAGACGTGAGGACAGACGTGAGGACAGACGTGAGGACAGACGTGTGGACAGACGTGTGGACAGACGTGAGGACAGACGTGAGGACAGACGTGAGGACAGACGTGTGTACAGACGTGAGGACAGACGTGTGGACAGACGTGAGGACAGACGTGAGGACAGACGTGAGGACAGACGTGTGGACAGACGTGTGGACAGACGTGAGGACAGACGTGAGGACAGACGTGAGGACAGACGTGAGGACAGACGTGAGGACAGACGTGTGGACAGACGTGAGGACAGACGTGAGGACAGACGTGAGGACAGACGTGTGGACAGACGTGAGGACAGACGTGAGGACAGACAGACGTGAGGACAGACGTGAGGACAGACGTGTGGACAGACGTGAGGACAGACGTGAGGACAGACGTGAGGACAGACGTGAGGACAGACGTGAGGACAGACGTGTGGACAGACGTGTGGACAGACGTGAGGACAGACAGACGTGAGGACAGACGTGAGGACAGACGTGTGTACAGACGTGAGGACAGACGTGAGGACAGACGTGAGGACAGACGTGAGGACAGACGTGTGGACAGACGTGAGGACAGACGTGAGGACAGACGTGAGGACAGACGTGAGGACAGACGTGAGGACAGACGTGAGGACAGACGTGTGGACAGACGTGAGGACAGACAGACGTGAGGACAGACGTGAGGACAGACGTGAGGACAGACGTGTGGACAGACGTGAGGACAGACAGACGTGAGGACAGACGTGTGGACAGACGTGAGGACAGACGTGTGTACAGACGTGAGGACAGACGTGTGGACAGACGTGAGGACAGACGTGAGGACAGACGTGAGGACAGACGTGAGGACAGACGTGAGGACAGACGTGTGGACAGACGTGAGGACAGACGTGAGGACAGACGTGTGTACAGACGTGAGGACAGACGTGTGGACAGACGTGAGGACAGACGTGAGGACAGACGTGTGGACAGACGTGAGGACAGACAGACGTGAGGACAGACGTGAGGACAGACGTGTGTACAGACGTGAGGACAGACGTTTGTGGACAGACGTGAGGACAGACGTGAGGACAGACGTGAGGACAGACGTGAGGACAGACGTGAGGACAGACGTGAGGACAGACGTGTGGACAGACGTGAGGACAGACGTGAGGACAGACGTGTGTACAGACGTGAGGACAGACGTGTGGACAGACGTGAGGACAGACGTGAGGACAGACGTGAGGACAGACGTGAGGACAGACGTGAGGACAGACGTGTGGACAGACGTGAGGACAGACGTGAGGACAGACGTGAGGACAGACAGACGTGAGGACAGACGTGAGGACAGACGTGTGTACAGACGTGAGGACAGACGTGTGGACAGACGTGAGGACAGACGTGAGGACAGACGTGAGGACAGACAGACGTGAGGACAGACGTGAGGACAGACGTGAGGACAGACGTGTGGACAGACGTGAGGACAGACAGACGTGAGGACAGACGTGAGGACAGACGTGAGGACAGACGTGTGGACAGACGTGAGGACAGACAGACGTGAGGACAGACGTGTGGACAGACGTGAGGACAGACGTGTGTACAGACGTGAGGACAGACGTGTGGACAGACGTGAGGACAGACGTGAGGACAGACGTGAGGACAGACGTGAGGACAGACGTGAGGACAGACGTGTGGACAGACGTGAGGACAGACGTGAGGACAGACGTGTGTACAGACGTGAGGACAGACGTGTGGACAGACGTGAGGACAGACGTGAGGACAGACGTGTGGACAGACGTGAGGACAGACAGACGTGAGGACAGACGTGAGGACAGACGTGTGTACAGACGTGAGGACAGACGTGTGGACAGACGTGAGGACAGACGTGAGGACAGACGTGAGGACAGACGTGAGGACAGACGTGAGGACAGACGTGAGGACAGACGTGTGGACAGACGTGAGGACAGACGTGAGGACAGACGTGTGTACAGACGTGAGGACAGACGTGTGGACAGACGTGAGGACAGACGTGAGGACAGACGTGAGGACAGACGTGAGGACAGACGTGTGGACAGACGTGAGGACAGACGTGAGGACAGACGTGAGGACAGACAGACGTGAGGACAGACGTGAGGACAGACGTGAGGACAGACGTGTGGACAGACGTGAGGACAGACGTGAGGACAGACAGACGTGAGGACAGACGTGAGGACAGACGTGTGGACAGACGTGAGGACAGACAGACGTGAGGACAGACAGACGTGAGGACAGACGTGAGGACAGACGTGTGGACAGACGTGAGGACAGACAGACGTGAGGACAGACGTGAGGACAGACGTGAGGACAGACGTGAGGACAGACGTGAGGACAGACGTGAGGACAGACGTGAGGACAGACGTGTGGACAGACGTGAGGACAGACGTGAGGACAGACGTGAGGACAGACGTGTGGACAGACGTGAGGACAGACGTGAGGACAGACGTGAGGACAGACGTGAGGACAGACGTGTGGACAGACGTGAGGACAGACGTGAGGACAGACGTGAGGACAGACGTGAGGACAGACGTGAGGACAGACGTGAGGACAGACGTGAGGACAGACGTGTGGACAGACGTGAGGACAGACGTGAGGACAGACGTGTGGACAGACGTGAGGACAGACGTGAGGACAGACGTGAGGACAGACGTGAGGACAGACGTGAGGACAGACGTGAGGACAGACGTGAGGACAGACGTGAGGACAGACGTGAGGACAGACGTGAGGACAGACGTGTGGACAGACGTGAGGACAGACGTGAGGACAGACGTGTGGACAGACGTGAGGACAGACGTGAGGACAGACGTGGGACAGTGTGGACAGACGTGAGGACAGACGTGAGGACAGACGTGAGGACAGACGTGAGGACAGACGTGAGGACAGACGTGTGTACAGACGTGAGGACAGACGTGAGGACAGACGTGAGGACAGACGTGAGGACAGACGTGAGGACAGACGTGAGGACAGACGTGTGGACGCCGTAACTGCAGGTCAGTGCGGGGGACACCTCGCTGTGGATTGTGGACATTTCAGGAGTTTTTCAGAGTCTGAACGATGTCTGCGTCTTCATGACGTGGAAACTCCAATTGGGCTTTGATGAAAACTTACGTCTGTTCTTATTCCATTTGGACGGAGTTAGCAACAGTCGTTTCATGTAGCAACAGAATCAGCTGTGGATCTGCAGCTGTGGATCTGTGTCTGCAGCTGTGGATCTGTGTCTGCAGCTGTGGTTCTGCAGCTGTGGATCTGTGTCTGCAGCTGTGGTTCTGCAGCTGTGGATCTGTGTCTGCAGCTGTGGTTCTGCAGCTGTGGATCTGCAGCTGTGGTTCTGTGTCTGCAGCTGTGGATCTGCAGCTGTGGTTCTGTGTCTGCAGTTGTGGATCTGCAGCTGTGGTTCTGTGTCTGCAGCTGTGGTTCTGTGTCTGCAGCTGTGGTTCTGTGTCTGCAGCTGTGGTTCTGTATTTGCAGCTGTGGTCCGGAGCCCCAGGATGAGCCTGAGCTCTAAGGGGAAGAAGCGTGTGGTTCTCCCGAGTCGTCCTGAACCTCCGAGTCTGGAGCAAATCCTGGAGGACGTGAGGAGGAGCCCAGCGGAGGATCCACTGTTCAGTCTGCAGGAGGGAGGTGAGAGGAGGGAGGAGGGGGAGGGAGGAGGTGAGAGGAGGGAGGAGGGGGAGGGAGGAGGTGAGAGGAGGGAGGAGGGAGGAGGTGAGAGGAGGGAGGAGGTGAGAGGAGGGAGGAGGGGGAGGGAGGAGGGGGAGGGAGGAGGTGAGAGGAGGGAGGAGGGGGGGGAGGGAGTAAGTAAGTATTTATTTATATACCGCCTTTCACAGATCTGAGTCTCAAAGCGGTTTACAATTGTTAATTTAGGGCATTTGTCTCTCACTCCACACAGAGATGGGGGTCGCCAGTACAGGAGGCGCATGCCAGAACTATTGGACATATTTTTAGTGGTAGGGGAAACCGGAGTACCCGGAGGAAACCTACGCAGACACGGGGAGAACATGCAAACTCCACTCAGAAAGGCCCTGGTCCGACCGGGATTCGAACCCAGGACCTTCTTGCGACCTTCAGGCGAGAGTGCTATCCACTCAGCCACCGTGCCGCCCTGGGAGGAGGAGGGGGAGGGAGGAGGAGGGAGGAGGGGGAGGGAGGAGGAGGGAGGAGGTGAGAGGAGGGGGGGGGGGGGGGAGGAGGGGAGGAGGAGGAGGGGAGGAGGAGGAGGGAGGAGGAGCCCAGCGGAGGATCCACTGTTCAGTCTGCAGGAGGGAGGTGAGAGGAGGGAGGGGGGGGGGGGGGGGGGGGGGGGGGGGGGGGGGGGGGGGGGGGGGGGGGGGGGGGGGGGGGGGGGGGGGGGGGGGGGGGGGGGGGGGGGGGGGGGGGGGGGGGGGGGGGGGGGGGGGGGGGGGGGGGGGGGGGGGGGGGGGGGGGGGGGGGGGGGGGGGGGGGGGGGGGGGGGGGGGGGGGGGGGGGGGGGGGGGGGGGGGGGGGGGGGGGGGGGGGGGGGGGGGGGGGGGGGGGGGGGGGGGGGGGGGGGGGGGGGGGGGGGGGGGGGGGGGGGGGGGGGGGGGGGGGGGGGGGGGGGGGGGGGGGGGGGGGGGGGGGGGGGGGGGGGGGGGGGGGGGGGGGGGGGGGGGGGGGGGGGGGGGGGGGGGGGGGGGGGGGGGGGGGGGGGGGGGGGGGGGGGGGGGGGGGGGGGGGGGGGGGGGGGGGGGGGGGGGGGGGGGGGGGGGGGGGGGGGGGGGGGGGGGGGGGGGGGGGGGGGGGGGGGGGGGGGGGGGGGGGGGGGGGGGGGGGGGGGGGGGGGGGGGGGGGGGGGGGGGGGGGGGGGGGGGGGGGGGGGGGGGGGGGGGGGGGGGGGGGGGGGGGGGGGGGGGGGGGGGGGGGGGGGGGGGGGGGGGGGGGGGGGGGGGGGGGGGGGGGGGGGGGGGGGGGGGGGGGGGGGGGGGGGGGGGGGGGGGGGGTGGGGGGGGGGGGGGGGGGGGGGGGGGGGGGGGGGGGGGGGGGGGGGGGGGGGGGGGGGGGGGGGGGGGGGGGGGGGGGGGGGGGGGGGGGGGGGGGGGGGGGGGGGGGGGGGGGGGGGGGGGGGGGGGGGGGGGGGGGGGGGGGGGGGGGGGGGGGGGGGGGGGGGGGGGGGGGGGGGGGGGGGGGGGGGGGGGGGGGGGGGGGGGGGGGGGGGGGGGGGGGGGGGGGGGGGGGGGGGGGGGGGGGGGGGGGGGGGGGGGGGGGGGGGGGGGGGGGGGGGGGGGGGGGGGGGGGGGGGGGGGGGGGGGGGGGGGGGGGGGGGGGGGGGGGGGGGGGGGGGGGGGGGGGGGGGGGGGGGGGGGGGGGGGGGGGGGGGGGGGGGGGGGGGGGGGGGGGGGGGGGGGGGGGGGGGGGGGGGGGGGGGGGGGGGGGGGGGGGGGGGGGGGGGGGGGGGGGGGGGGGGGGGGGGGGGGGGGGGGGGGGGGGGGGGGGGGGGGGGGGGGGGGGGGGGGGGGGGGGGGGGGGGGGGGGGGGGGGGGGGGGGGGGGGGGGGGGGGGGGGGGGGGGGGGGGGGGGGGGGGGGGGGGGGGGGGGGGGGGGGGGGGGGGGGGGGGGGGGGGGGGGGGGGGGGGGGGGGGGGGGGGGGGGGGGGGGGGGGGGGGGGGGGGGGGGGGGGGGGGGGGGGGGGGGGGGGGGGGGGGGGGGGGGGGGGGGGGGGGGGGGGGGGGGGGGGGGGGGGGGGGGGGGGGGGGGGGGGGGGGGGGGGGGGGGGGGGGGGGGGGGGGGGGGGGGGGGGGGGGGGGGGGGGGGGGGGGGGGGGGGGGGGGGGGGGGGGGGGGGGGGGGGGGGGGGGGGGGGGGGGGGGGGGGGGGGGGGGGGGGGGGGGGGGGGGGGGGGGGGGGGGGGGGGGGGGGGGGGGGGGGGGGGGGGGGGGGGGGGGGGGGGGGGGGGGGGGGGGGGGGGGGGGGGGGGGGGGGGGGGGGGGGGGGGGGGGGGGGGGGGGGGGGGGGGGGGGGGGGGGGGGGGGGGGGGGGGGGGGGGGGGGGGGGGGGGGGGGGGGGGGGGGGGGGGGGGGGGGGGGGGGGGGGGGGGGGGGGGGGGGGGGGGGGGGGGGGGGGGGGGGGGGGGGGGGGGGGGGGGGGGGGGGGGGGGGGGGGGGGGGGGGGGGGGGGGGGGGGGGGGGGGGGGGGGGGGGGGGGGGGGGGGGGGGGGGGGGGGGGGGGGGGGGGGGGGGGGGGGGGGGGGGGGGGGGGGGGGGGGGGGGGGGGGGGGGGGGGGGGGGGGGGGGGGGGGGGGGGGGGGGGGGGGGGGGGGGGGGGGGGGGGGGGGGGGGGGGGGGGGGGGGGGGGGGGGGGGGGGGGGGGGGGGGGGGGGGGGGGGGGGGGGGGGGGGGGGGGGGGGGGGGGGGGGGGGGGGGGGGGGGGGGGGGGGGGGGGGGGGGGGGGGGGGGGGGGGGGGGGGGGGGGGGGGGGGGGGGGGGGGGGGGGGGGGGGGGGGGGGGGGGGGGGGGGGGGGGGGGGGGGGGGGGGGGGGGGGGGGGGGGGGGGGGGGGGGGGGGGGGGGGGGGGGGGGGGGGGGGGGGGGGGGGGGGGGGGGGGGGGCGGGGGGGGGGGGGGGGGGGGGGGGGGGGGGGGGGGGGGGGGGGGGGGGGGGGGGGGGGGGGGGGGGGGGGGGGGGGGGGGGGGGGGGGGGGGGGGGGGGGGGGGGGGGGGGGGGGGGGGGGGGGGGGGGGGGGGGGGGGGGGGGGGGTGGAGGGGTGAGAGGGGGGGAGAGGGGAGGGGGGAGAGGAGAGGAGGTGAGGGGGGGGGAGGAGGAGGGAGGAGGTGGAGGAGGGGGGGAATAACCCTGTTGTTGTGCAGGTCTGACCTCCTCCTCGTCTGAAGTGGACCTGAGGTTTGAGCAGTGCAGACGCTTCAGGGATCTGAACCACGTGTGACGGAGGCCAGGAGGAGCTGAAGAGCGAGGAGGAGCTGAGGAGGCCACGGAGGGTCTGCAGAGGAGGTGGGAGGTAAGGACTCCGGTGGAGGAGGGGGGGGAGCTGAGGAGGCGGAGGCTGCAGAGGGAGGAGGGGGAGGACGGGGGAGGAGGAGGGGAGGAGCTGAGGAGGAGCCACGGAGGGGTGGCAGAGGGAGGTGAGGAGGTGAAGGACTCCGTGTGAGAGAGGAGGAGGAGGAGCTGAGGAGAGCCACGGAGGGTCTGCAGAGGGAGGTGAAGGAGGTGAAGGACTCCGTGTGAGAGAGGAGGAGGAGGAGCTGAGGAGAGCCACGGAGGGTCTGCAGAGGGAGGTGAAGGAGGTGAAGGACTCCGTGTGAGAGAGGAGGAGGAGGAGCTGAGGAGAGCCACGGAGGGTCTGCAGAGGGAGGTGAAGGAGGTGAGGACTCGTGTGAGAGAGGAGGAGGAGGAGTGAGGAGGAGCACGGAGGGTCTGCAGAGGGAGGTGAAGGAGGTGAGGACTCTGTGGAGAGAGGCGGAGAGGAGGAGCTGGGAGGAGCGCACGGAGGGGTCTGCAGAGGGAGGTGAAGGAGGTGAAGGACTCCGTGTGAGAGAGGGGAGGAGGCTGAGGAGGAGCGGCAGAGGAGGGTCGTGGAGCTGGAGGAGAGCCAGGAGGTGGAGGAGCTGGGCAGAGAGGAGGGTTGCAGGAGGTGAGGATGAGACTCCGGTGTGAGAGACGGGAGGCGAGGAGCGAGAGAGCTGAGAGGAGAGCGGAGGAGGAGGAGCCTGAGAGAGGAGGAGAAGGCTGAGAGAGCACGGAGGGCTGCAGAGGGAGGTGAGGAGGTGAGAGGACTCGGTGAGAGAGGAGGAGGAGGACTGAGGAGAGCTGAGGAGAGCCGAGAGCAAGGAGGGTGAGACTGAGGAGAGAGGACGGAGAGGAGCGAGGAGAGACGGAGGACTGCAGAGGAGCGAGACGGAGAGCGAGAGGACTGAGAGAGAGAGGAGAGGAGGAGCAGAGGAGAGCCAGGAGAGGCTGCAGAGGGAGGTGAGAGAGGAGGTGAAGGACTCCGTGTGAGGAGAGAGGAGGAGGAGACTGAGGAGGGTCTGCAGAGGGCAGAGTGCAGAGAGGACTCCGAGAGCACGCCGCGAGAGCCTATGATGGGCCAGAGGGGCAGAGTGCAGAGCGGTGCCGAAGAGAGAGCGAGAGAGACTGAGAGAGCAAGAGAGCGAGAGAGAGAGACTGAGAGAGCGAGAGAGACTGAGAGAGCAAGAGAGCGAGAGAGAGAGACTGAGAGAGAGCGAGAGAGACTGAGAGCAAGAGAGCGAGAGAGAGAGACTGAGAGAGAGCGAGAGAGACTGAGAGAGCAAGAGAGCGAGAGAGAGAGACTGAGAGAGAGCGAGAGAGACTGAGAGAGCAAGAGAGCGAGAGAGAGAGAGAGACGAGAGAGAGCGAGAGAGACTGAGAGAGAGAGAGACTGAGAGAGAGCGAGAGAGACGAGGAGAGAGACTGAGAGAGAGCAGAGAGACTGAGAGCAAGAGAGCGAGAGAGACTGAGAGAGCAAGAGAGCGAGAGAGACTGAGAGAGCGAGAGAGCGAGAGAGACTGAGAGAGAGAGAGAGAGACTGAGAGACTGAGAGAGCGAGAGCGAGAGACTGAGAGAGAGCGAGAGAGACTGAGAGAGCGAGAGAGACAGAGAGAGCGAGAGAGACTGAGAGCGAGAGAGACAGAGAGAGACTGAGAGCGAGAGACAGAGCGAGAGTGAGAGAGACAGAGAGAGAGCGAGAGAGAGAGAGCGAGAGACTGAGAGAGAGCAAGAGAGATAGAGAGAGAGCAAGAGACAGAGAGAGCGAGAGAGACTGAGAGCGAGAGAGACTGAGAGAGCGAGAGAGAGAGAGAGCGAGAGAGACTGAGAGAGAGCGAGAGAGACAGAGAGAGAGACTGAGAGAGCGAGAGAGACAGAGAGAGCAAGAGAGAGCGAGAGAGACTGAGAGAGCGAGAGAGACTGAGAGAGCGAGAGAGACTGAGAGAGCGAGAGAGACTGAGAGAGCGAGAGAGACTGAGAGAGCGAGAGAGACAGAGAGAGCAAGAGAGAGCGAGAGAGACTGAGAGAGCGAGAGAGACTGAGAGAGCGAGAGAGACTGAGAGCGAGAGACAGAGACTTAGAGCGAGAGAGACTGAGAGAGACATTCAAATTCAGTTGTTTTTCTGACTGAAGTGGGACAAACGTGTTGATCTGTGGCTGTTTGGCGCCATCGTGAGGCTGAGGACAGTAACTGCAGCTGTTTAACACTGAATGTGACGTCATGAATTAAAACATGTTTCATTTGCTTCTGATCTGGATTTATTGCTCAGTCTAACATTGGGACCTGAAGGTGAGGAGCTCGGAGTAGAACCGCTGCTCCTCCACAGCAAGAATAGCCTTTTCATCTGTTCACAATCTGGGTCTAAAGCCTCAGTCCTGGGTCTACGCCTCAGTCCTGGGTCTACAGCCTCAGTCCTGGGTCTACGGCCTCAGTCCTGGTCTACGGCCTCAGTCCTGGTCTACAGCGTCATCCTGGGTCTCGCCTCAGTCCTGGTCTACGGCCTCAGTCCTGGGTACAGGTCTACAGCCTCAGTCCTCAGTCCTGGTCTACGCGTCAGTCCTGGTCTACAGCGTCAGTCCTGGTCTACAGCGTCAGTCCTGGGTCTACAGCCTCTGTTACGGCCTCACAGTCCTGGGTCTACGCTCAGTCCTGGTCTACAGCCTCAGTCCTGGGGTCTACCCTCAGTCTGGGTCTACAGCCTCAGTCCTGGGTCTACGGCCTCAGCCTCAGTCCTACGGGGTCTGGGTCTACAGCGTCAGTCCTGGGTCTACAGCTCAGTCCTGGTCTACGCCTCAGTCCTGGGTCTACAGTCCGTACGGCCTCAGTCCTGGGTCTACGGCCTCAGTCCTGGGTCTATCCTGGGTCTACAGCCTCATCCTGGGTCTACAGCCTCAGCCTACGGCCTCAGTCCTGCCATCCTGGCCATCTGTCTACGGCCTCAGTCCTGGGTCTACAGCCTCAGTCCTGGGTCTACGGCCTCAGTCCTGGGTCTACGGCCTCAGTCCTGGGTCTACAGCGTCAGTCCTGGGTCTACGGCCTCAGTCCTGGGTCTACGGCCTCAGTCCTGGGTCTACGGCCTCAGTCCTGGGTCTACAGCCTCAGTCCTGGGTCTACAGCCTCAGTCCTGGGTCTACGGCGTCAGTCCTGGGTCTACGGCGTCAGTCCTGGGTCTACAGCGTCAGTCCTGGGTCTACAGCGTCAGTCCTGGGTCTACAGCCTCAGTCCTGGGTCTACAGCCTCAGTCCTGGGTCTACGGCCTCAGTCCTGGGTCTACAGCCTCAGTCCTGGGTCTCTGCAGCGTCAGTCCTGGGTCTACAGCCTCAGTCCTGGATCTACAGCCTCAGTCCTGGGTCTACGGCCTCAGTCCTGGGTCTACAACCTCAGTCCTGGGTCTACAGCCTCAGTCCTGGGTCTACAGCCTCAGTCCTGGGTCTACGGCCTCAGTCCTGGGTCTACAGCCTCAGTCCTGGGTCTACGGCGTCAGTCCTGGGTCTACAGCGTCAGTCCTGGGTCTACAGCCTCAGTCCTGGGTCTACAGCCTCAGTCCTGGGTCTACGGCCTCAGTCCTGGGTCTACGGCCTCAGTCCTGGGTCTACGGCCTCAGTCCTGGGTCTACAGCCTCAGTCCTGGGTCTACAGCCTCAGTCCTGGGTCTACAGCGTCAGTCCTGGGTCTACGGCCTCAGTCTTGGGTCTACAGCCTCAGTCCTGGGTCTACAGCCTCAGTCCTGGGTCTACGGCCTCAGTCCTGGGTCTACGGCCTCAGTCCTGGGTCTACGGCCTCAGTCCTGGGTCTACAGCCTCAGTCCTGGGTCTACAGCGTCAGTCCTGGGTCTACGGCCTCAGTCCTGGGTCTACAGCCTCAGTCCTGGGTCTACGGCCTCAGTCCTGGACTAACAGTCTCATGTGGTGAATAAAAGAGTTAATAAAACATGTTACACTTTATTTGATGAAAACATTGAAAAGACACAAGTTTGTTCTGAACAAAACCATCGTTCCAGTTTTTACATTTTACGTTTAATACTGAAGAGTTTAGGTTTTACAAGAGCAGCTCTGTGCACGCACCAGAGAGAGACCAGAGAGAGACCAGAGAGAGACCAGAGAGAGACCAGAGAGAGAGACCAGAGAGAGACCAGAGAGAGACCAGAGAGACCAGAGAGAGACCAGAGAGAGACCAGAGAGAGACCAGAGAGAGACCAGAGAGAGACCAGAGAGAGACCAGAGAGAGAGACCAGAGAGAAACCAGAGAGACCAGAGAGAGAGACCAGAGAGAAACCAGAGAGAGACCAGAGAGAGAGACCAGAGAGAAACCAGAGAGAGAGACCAGAGGGAGACCAGAGAGAGACCAGAGGGAGACCAGAGAGAGACCAGAGAGAGACCAGAGGGAGACCAGAGAGAGACCAGAGAGAGACTAGAGAGAGACCAGAGAGAGACCAGAGAGAGACCAGAGAGAGAGACCAGAGAGAAACCAGAGAGAGAGACCAGAGAGAAACCAGAGAGAGACCAGAGAGAGACCAGAGGGAGACCAGAGAGAGACCAGAGAGAGACCAGAGAGAGACCAGAGAGAGACCAGAGAGAGAGACCAGAGAGAAACCAGAGAGAGACCAGAGAGAAAGACCAGAGAGAGAGACTTTAGATAAAGGTACCATGTAATACTATATGCTGTTGGAGAATATGAGAAGCTTTAATAGAAACAATCAAACAAAAGTGGGTGAAATGGCGACAGGTGTCTTTGGGACCAGTGTCACTTCCTCTTCCACACTCACTCTGCAGGGGAGGGGCTCAGGTGGGGGAGGGGGGGAGGACTCAGGTGGGGGAGGGGCTCAGGTGGGGGAGGGCTCAGGGGGGGAGGGCTCAGGTGGGGGAGGGGCTCAGGTGTGGAGGACTCAGGTGGGGGAGGGGCTCAGGTGGGGACGGGCTCAGGTGGGGAGGGGCTCAGGTGGGGGAGGGGCTCAGGGGGGGAGGGGCTCAGGTGGGGAGGGGCTCAGGGGGGGAGGGGCTCAGGTGGGGAGGGCTCAGGGGGGGAGGGGCTCAGGTGGGGAGGGCTCAGGTGGGGAGGGCTCAGGTGGGGAGGGGCTCAGGTGGGGGAGGGCTCAGGTGGGGGAGGGGCTCAGGGGGGGAGGGGCTTAGGTGGGGAGGCCTAAGGTGGGAGAGGCCTAAGGTGGGAGAGGCCTCAGGTGGGAGAGGCCTCAGGTGGGGAGGGGCTCAGGTGGGGAGGGGGTCAGGTGGGGGAGGGGCTCAGGTGCCTGCACAGCGCCACTTTAAGACTCTTCAAATGTAAATACTCGGTTAAACACGGTTTGTTTCGTCTTTGCCTTCGGATCTTAAGCTTTAGTATCGTCCGACTGTTAGCACTACTGCAGCACAGGGACCAGCGGTGACACCAGCGGTGACACCAGAGGAGGTCTCATTATAATGACCATGAACCGGGACCGTTGGACCATCAGACAGTTCCTTCTGTCGCTGCGGCTGCTATAGGAGTAAGAGGCGGATACATCACATGCCCATAATACTTTGTGATATTTACAAAGTGGATATAAGTTGGAGATGGTTAATGTGGTTATAGTTCACGGTTTTACACGGATGAAGAGAAATGTCCAGAGCGCCAAAGTCTTTCCTGTAAAAATATTCTCCTTCCTCCTCCGTCCATCGCCATCGAGGCTTTTGCATAATGTCTGTCACACGGAGAAAACTGACTCTGCAGCAGCGGCTGGTCCCCGTGTGCGATGGTCCTCTGCTGGTCCCCGTGTGCGATGGTCCTCTGCTGGTCTCCGTGTGCAATGGTCCTCTGCTGGTCCCCGTGTGCGATGGTCCTCTGCTGGTCCCCGTGTGCGATGGTCCTCTCTGTTCTACCGAGCGATGGGTAAATCTACCAATACTTTTTTAATTGCTTTTTAATTGCCCATCGGGGATAAATAAAGTGATTGATTGATTGATTGATTGAATACAAAAAAAGGTACAAAAACTGATGCATTCACGAAGTGCATCGTGTGTAAAGTCCGTTACTTCCACGGGGAGTGCGAGGGTCAGAGGGAGATCAGGGCGGAGCTGTCTTTGTCAGTGAAGCTTCTCTTTCTCACTTTTCTGCCTGACGGAGCTGAGGCCGAAAACACAAAACTAGTGATTCTCTGAGAGCGAGGAACAAGAGACAGAAAAAGGACTGAAGGAGTCTTTCCGAAGCAAACTCTGATGAAACCCGACCTGTGAGGTAAAGCTGTCCTACGGCTCATTCTTCTCTTCCTGTTTCTCGCTGAGTGTTTCTTGTGCCAGCCTCGGACTCGGGATGTAGTTAAAGGGCGTGACTCTGGCAGATTTGCTCGGAGAACCCTGTCGGAAAAGCACCGGAGCCTCCACCTCCGAGTCCGCCTTCAGCGCCGCAGAGCTGTCCTCGGTTTGGACCGTGGCGTCGCTGGTCTTCCTGGACTCCAGGAGGATGGTGGGCAGCTTCCCCGGCAGGCCTCTGTGTGGGGGGGGTCTGTGTGGGGGGGGCAGCTCCTCTGTGGGCGATGGCACCAGGGGCAGAGCGTTCTCAGGGAGCGTGCTCTTCAGAATCTGCGACACGTCTTTGTCTCGGATGCGGCGCCAGGTCCCGCGGCCGTCGCTCTTCCTCCACTTCCCACTTTTCTTCCTGGAGTCGTCGCGCTCGCTCTGGGCTCGGCCGCTGGAGTCGGAGGAGGACGAGCGGCTGGTGACGCGGCTCAGGACGTTGATGCTCGGAGACGAGGCGTGTCTCTTGAACGTGTCGCTCGGCGGTGGGTTTGTGCGGCCGCCGGGCGCTCGGTGCGATGCGTTGAGCTGCGCGGCTCGGCTCGGGCTCTCGGAGCTGGTGCGTCTCGCCGGGCGCCGAGCAGCGACATCTCTTTTGTTGGAAATCGCTCGAGAGTTGCCGTTTCTCTTCTCAGTCGCGGTGCTGACTTTTTGTTGCTGTTTGGGTGGAGCAGGGGGAGTCTTGGTCTGCGGTCTCTTCGGGGGCTGCACTGAGACCTTTAGTTCTTGGCACCGCGAGGAGCAGAGGAAAACCGCAGGGGCCCGCTGAGGGGAGCCGTGCTGAGAGCCGGGAGTGTTCTTCCGCCTTAATCCCGTCTTTGCGTCTTTGATAAACGTGAGCTGCCTCATAAATCCGTTTCTTCCTGATTCTCCGCTGCTCGAATGCTCGGACGTCATTCGCACCAGATCAAACCGGTTCTGAGTCTTTCGTGTGCTTGGTTGGTTGTTATTACTCGGCCTCACGGTTTGATTGGTCACAAGTGGAGACAGAGGCCGCTGCTGTCTTCCCGCCTGCATGAATGGAATGCGCACTGGTGACTTCTGTGTCTTTGGCGGCGGTGACTTGTCGTTGACAACGGGAGAGCGCCCCCTCCTCTCCGGAGGACTAGAGGCCGGTGGACTGACGCTAGGCGGGGGCGTCTTCTTCTGCACTGGTTTATGCGTTTGAACCGGGGACGTGATCTTCTTCTGGGGAGTTTTAGACGGAGTCGAGCTCGAAGAGGATCCGGAGGAGGAGCTCTTTGGGATCCGTGGGGGCGGAGTTGAGCTGCGCTTTGGCAAACACCACTCCGTGTCCTGAGGTCGCCCTAGTCTGTGCAGGCTCTTGGATCTGTGCTGTGCCAGTTGGGGGTTCTTGGGCGAGTCTGTTTGGTGCGAGGTCTTCCTGGGGGGAGGTCTCTGTGAGGGCGGGTCTTCCTTCTTGGGCGTGTAGATCACCGTCCTTCCCCTGAACACCACGGGAAGATTTGGCACCGGTTTGCGCTGCGCAAAGTCCAGCGGTTTGTTTGGCTTCTTGTCTTTTGCAAACTTTCGCTCTTTGGGCGTGAAGCTGGATGTAGACATGAAGGAAAGCACCGACTCCGTCTCCTCCGATGACGGCTCCTGAGACTTGGAGGCCTGGAGCCCTGTCACCACCGTGTTGGCTCCTTCTTGAATGGCTCTCCACTCCACACTGTTCAGATCCGAGTCTTGGTCCCAGGCCGCGTCGTCACTGTCCAGCTCCTCATTGATGCTCCACACGTCCACACAGCGCTGCCGCTGCTTCTCCGCCTTCTTCTTCCGCGTCGACATCTTGCGGCGCTGCTTGGGCATGGCGGACGTGATGCACCTCTGCAGCAGGTCGTCCTCAGAATCCAAGCTGACGGAACTGGGCGAGCTCTGCTCCTCGTACGGGCTGTGGATGAGCATCGATTTGTTGTGCTGAGTCACGCTTTTGTTGTGTCTATTTTTAAACCACACTTGCTGCGCTTTGTTCTTGTGGTCTTCAAACTCAGCGTCGCTGAGGGAGCTCAGAGAGGAGCTGAGAGAGTAGCATCCTGCGGATTCATCTTTGATCAAGTTTTGCTTAAGGCGATGAAAGCCTCCTGCCTTTTGGCAGCTCTCTATGCGTCCTATGTTGGTCATGCTTTTAGACAGCGAGCTCCTGCTAGCCTCCCGCAGCTGCTTCCTGGTTGGGCGCTTGGCGAGTTCCCGCTCTTCATAAAAGCTGTTGCTGTCTTCGGATGAGTTCCGTTTGTGATGAAACGTGCGCTCGCTCTGGCAGCGTGTGGTTAAGTTACTGTCAGAGCTGTGTTTGATGACAGGGAGCTCCATTTTGCGCACTTGCATTTTGCGCTGCTGAATGGGCGACTGGTTCCTCTGGTTCGCCACTCGGTCCGCCACCTCTTTGCTCTGCATCAGAACCCTCTGCGTCGGCACCACGTGTTTGCTCATCCGCGTGAGCTGGATGTCGGGCTGGTAGCTCGGTCTGTTCGGTTTGTGAAAGTGGGAGAAGATCCGTAAGTCCTCAATGCGTTTGGCGTCGTCGTCCAGCGGCTCCTTCAGGCCGTTGGCGGTGCAGTCTTTGGCGCCTCTCTCCTTCACAGAGTAATGCAGCGTCTCGTCGCTGAGCGACGTTGTGCTGGAGAAGTTCACCGCCGTGTTTTCAGCCGAATCTGAATCTTCAAACTCTCTCTGCGGCATCACGATCTGTCTCCCGTGATAGATCTGTGTTTTCCCGTTGGGCAGCATGTAAACAGGAAGCTGCATCTGCTTCCTTATCTGCGGGTTGAGCATGTGTGGCGGCACGGTCATCAGCGAAGGCCGCAGCTTCCTAAAGCGCGTCGGCATGGCTGAGTTGATGCACTCCTTCAGGATTTCGATGTCGTCGTCAGAGTTCCCTTCGCTGTAGCGCCCGTGCCCCTCGCCTTCGTAGCAGCAGTTAGCATCGCTCTGTTGAAGCAGCGGCGTTAGCTTTAGCTCCACGTCTTTCTGAATGTAGTGTTCGTGAAGCGGTAACGCGCTCAGGCTGGAGGCGCAGGAGAAGTTTTCTGTCGGTTTCTCTACCGTGAAGTAAATCATTGTGTCCAAATCTGAAGGGTTGAATCGTTCCTTTGAGTCCGTGATCTCCATGAACTTGCGTATGCTAGTTTCCCACTGACCCATGGGCTGCATCTCGGGGATGTTCTGTTCGCCGTAACATGGCGTCTTGCTGCGACTCGGGGGCATGGTCTGACCGGGGCTGTCGGGTAAATCGCTCGGGCTGATGGTCCCGTCCACCATCTCGCTGCAGGGGTCGCTGAGGATGGAGCTGGCGATGGACGGAGCCTCGAAACTCCCCAACGAGCTGACGGAGCTGCAGCGGCTCATCACCAGCGGCGTCTCGTGGATGTAGTTTTCAGAGGAGCTGGAGGGAGAGCGGTCCTCGAGGATCTGCGAGCTGCGGAGGAACACTTTCTCTCGTTTGGCGGAACACGGGATCAGGACACTCTCTTTGGAGTCAGTGACGAGCAGCTGGCTGTCGCTTAGATCCTCCAGCGTCTCGTCTTCCTGCGGCCGCTTCACCACCTGTCCGTCCTCCACTTCGATTATCTCCAACGATGAATCAGAGTCCAGTTCGCCTTCGCTCTGCAGGTCCAGCGCTCCGTCCCCGTCTCCGGACGAGAGCGAGGACAGAGAGCTGCAGCGCGAGAAGCAGATGGGCGTGTTTTCCACAGAGTACTTCTGCAGCGTCTCCATGGGGCCGATGGTGGGGCTTCTGGAGGACGTCATTGGAGAGAACTTGCTGATGCTGCCGCCCGTCATGGCGGTCGGGACCCAGGCCTGTCTCCTCATGGCCTGAGCCGCCTGCACGTTTATGGCCGTCTTTGCGACGCCAAACTTGGCCACGCTCTGGATTAGCGGCACTTGTTGATACGTGGGAGAGAGCTTTATGGAAGTCATGCTGACGTCTGAGGACATCTTGGTGGACGCGCTGAGCGGAGAGTGAAGCGGCTGCTCCACGTTTCTCTCGGCTTCTGTCAGGTTAAAGTCTTGCGTTGTGACCTCCTCATTTCCCATTGTGTCTCTCTCTGGGATTTGTTGTTCGGTCGTTTCATTTTGAACAGTGTTTATGACATTCAACAGCTGATCGTGCGCTACCTTCAGGTCCAGCTGGTTTGGTCGTTGCTGCTGGAACACCACATGATCTTTACTTCCACAGTATCCGTCGCTGCTGCCGCTGTTCAGGCTGTCGGTGGAGACGCTGGAGTGCGCCGCCTTGAGGCGTAACAGCGCATGTGCACGGCTCAGGCGGTCTCTCTGTACGAGGCTGCTGCTGTCGGAGAACCTGCAGGGAGAACAGGACATGGCTCTGCCCTCGTTCAGCTCGTCCATGCTGTAGGGCCAGTCTGCCAGGTGGTCCTCGGAGCTGAGGCTTAAGCTGTCCTCGGACGACGTGTGCATGGTGATGTCGTCCACTAATCTGTCAATTTTGGCGACCGTGTTTGTGATTTTCTTTGCCAACTTCTCCGCCGCCGCTGACACAACGCCGTCTTCAGAAGCAGCGCCCGGACGCATCTTCTGCGGCAGCTCTTTGTCTCTCTCTGCTTTGCTTTGCTGCTTCTGCGCCTGAGTTTGGATGAGGTTTGAGTTGGAGAGGAACATGGACATCATGGAGAAACTCCCCGTCTCCAAACTGCTGGACATGACGGGGCCTTCGTCATCGTCGAAACAGCCCGAGTCGGAGGCGTAGTCCTTGGCGAGGCTCTCCATGTGGCGCTTGTGGAGCGTCATGTGTTTGGGGCTTTGCTTCTCGATGGTGTCAAAGGTCTCGGCTAAATGTTTGGCGTCGAGCTCGGCCTCCAGAGCCCTTTGCTTCCTCATGTAGAGCGAAGGTACGCAGGAGCCGGGCGACACCACCGCTGTGTCCTTGTACTTGAGCGGGCGGTTGGCGAGCAGGTTCCTCAGGGCCGCCGCGCTGCCCATGGCGATCATCTTGTGTTTGGAGTGGATGAGGTTACGGAGCATGCTCACGGCGCCCAGGTCCCACAGCAGCTCCTGGTCCTTCAGGCTGCGAGCCGACAGGTTCCACAGAGTCCCACAGGCGTTTCCTACGATGGTCAGACTGTGTGAGCGCAGGTGCTGCAGCAGGATCTGCAGACAGCTGTGCTCACGCAGCACCTGTCTGAACACACACAACAGGAAGTTAGAACACACACAACAGGAAGTTAGAACACACACAACAGGAAGTTAGAACACACACAACAGGAAGTTAGAACACACACGACAGGAAGTTAGAACACACACGACAGGAAGTTAGAACACACACAACAGGAAGTTAGAACACACACAACAGGAAGTTAGAACACACACGACAGGAAGTTAGAACACACACGACAGGAAGTTAGAACACACACAACAGGAAGTTAGAACACACACAACAGGAAGTTAGAACACACACGACAGGAAGTTAGAACACACACAACAGGAAGTTAGAACACACACAACAGGAAGTTAGAACACACACGACAGGAAGTTAGAACACACACAACAGGAAGTTAGAACACACACAACAGGAAGTTAGAACACACACGACAGGAAGTTAGAACACACACAACAGGAAGTTAGCACACACAACAGGAAGTTAGAACACACACGACAGGAAGTTAGAACACACACGACAGGAAGTTAGAACACACACGACAGGAAGTTAGAACACACACGACAGGAAGTTAGAACACACACAACAGGAAGTTAGAACACACACGACAGGAAGTTAGAACACACACGACAGGAAGTTAGAACACACACGACAGGAAGTTAGAACACACACAACAGGAAGTTAGAACACACACTACACCTGTAGTCCTCCCTGGTCCCTCAGTCCCTGGTCCCTGTACTCTGCTGGTCCCTGTGCTCTGCTGGTCCCTCAGTCTCTGGTCCCTGTACTCTGCTGGTCCCTGTGCTCTGCTGGTCCCTCAGTCTCTGGTCCCTGTACTCTGCTGGTCCCTGTGCTCTGCTGGTCCCTCAGTC